AGTCGCCTCATCAACCCGCAACTGCTGGTAAGCCTAGGCAAGATCAAGTTTCCCAAAGATCTTTGCCCCCCCCCCAAGGTGGCCAGTACGTGGCTAACCACAAGTACCGGGTATGCGTGGTCCTGTAGTGCCTTATTCAGCGTACATTTGTAGTCCGCGCAGATGCGGACTGCCCCATTCGGCTTTTCTACCACTACTATGGGGGTCTCCCACGCCGCGTGGGAGACTGGTTCCAGAACACCTTGGGCTACTAGGCGATCCAGTTCCGCATCGATTTTAGGCTTGACTGCCAGCAGAACTGTCCTGGCACGCATTCGGATAGGGGCCACCTTGGGGTCTAGATGCAGGGATACCGGGGGGCGGGCGTATAACGGCCCAGAGAGTCATTGAAAATGGCAGGAAACTCCCGGCATATCCCTTTGAAATCCTGTGTTGTACAGAGCTGGACTCCCTCGACTGAAATCCCCAGGGGCTCAAACCAGGCACGACCCAGCAAGCTGACCAGGTCGCCCTCTACCACGATCAAGTCCAGACGGCTCTTGAATTTCCCGTATTGTACTCGAAAAGTCCTGACCCCTTTAATCTGCACCCGGTTTCGCTGAAAGTCCATGAGCGTCACCGGGGATGGGCGCAAGTGGGGTCCCCCCTTTGGGCATAAGCGTTTAAGCGTGGCCTCGGAAATGATTGAGGCCGCAGAGCCAGAGTCTATCTCCATAAGGCATGGGGACCCCTCAATTGTTACAGTGGCTAGAATTTTAGGGGTGGGCGATTTCCCGGGGAGTTGCAGTACCTTTCCCGCTGTATGTGTGAGGTGGTATAGGTCCTCAGCTGCTGCCTTGTCCTCAAAGTGGGCTTCCGCCTTGTGACGCGGTGGCTGGCTCCAGCTGGTTGCTTTGGGCCAATGCGCCCACAGTTCCGACAAATGGCGTCTCGGAACCTGCATGTTTTCCTGTCATGCCGGTCACCGCAACTGGCACACACTGGAGCTGCTGCGCCGGGATGCTTGCGGGTGGAGTTAGCGTTCGCGGCTGGAGTGCGGTGTGGTGCTTGCATGCAGTGCCTTTTCATCTTCAAAACCATAAGTCATCAATTTATTTCTTTTTCTTTTTCACACAAGAAGTCCATAAAGGATTTCCATGTAGGTATAAAATTAAGTAAAGTCTTATCTTTTATCAGAGATGCAAGTCTGGCCATCTCTGCAAGGGTCCAATCCTGATTCAGCAATTGAAAAGGCACAGGGGTGCAACAAGAGTGCCTCATCCCACCATGGTCGAATCTGCATCTGCATTTTTAAATCAGTTTCGTGCTGCTGTGATGCCATCTTTATGCTTGTTTGAATGTTGTTTGGAGAAGATTCTTTTAAAGCAGTGGGGAGGTGCAATGACAGTGGAGCCACCACGAGAAGATGATAAACATATGTGGATGTGCAAAAGTATGCTAGCACTGTTGAGGTGTGAAAACGAAACCAAATGTAGACAGCTTTGTTAAAGACAGAGTCAGAAGGCTGGGAAACCGGTGGGAAAGACAAATGCAGACTCAACCCATGTCTTCATTGCATTTTTGAATCTCCCATTTTAGGCTTTAAAAGGGCAGTGGCATCCCTGTGTCAGACACAAGTCACGTCTAGTTCGGCCCTGATAGAGCTAATCAGGGCAGGTTTGGGGCTATGTCAGCTTTGCCTAATCCTAAACAACTTTTTGATATGTCTGATATGAAAGGAGCTTGGCACTGCCTGTTTATATGAAGATGATCCTCATCCTACCCATGACTCTTGCCTCTGCCTGCTCTGACTTGACCTTCTGTCTGCTCTCAACCCTGCCTCCCATCTCTGGCCCTATTTGGTACTCATCAGGAGTGACCTCCTGTTTCCCCATGACCCGCCTCAGCCCTAGCTATTTCAGCTACCCACTTGGAAACTAATCTAATTGGCTATGTCACAAATATGCCAATATACAATCCAGTAATTTATCCAAAATACTTACACTCCACCCTCTCACAGTCAGCTCACAGTCTGTTATAAATTCAATCAAGCCAACCTAGGCCCCGGTCACATGGGCCAGATAATGTGGGGGGGGGGAGGCAGGCCACGGTTCCATCCCTCCGTGTCAACGAGGGGCTGGAGGGAAAAGCGCTGCGCCAGCGTGATCACACCGAGGCATTCTGGAGGCAGCCCGTGGCAAACCGGTTGCTACTACCTTCAACCAGGTATTTTTTAACTCCACATTTTTGGCGGTATGCCATGGGTTGGCCATGGGTGCACTACGCCTCCCAGATGTTCTGGTGTGATTGCGCCCAGAAAATCTGCCCGACTATCTTGCCTTCCACGGGGCAAATGCTCCATGTGAACAGGACCCTAATATGTTAAATACAAACCAACGGCATTGACATTCAGGAGTAATATCAAAACCCACCATACAATAAAAGCAGCAAAAGCTACAGCAGCAAAGAAACAAGGGCAGCCAAACTAAGAAGTCAGTCTCCATATCAAATAGCCAAGGGGTGGCTTCTATGCAGACAGGTAAATCTGCACAACAGGGCCAGCCACAGCTACAATGTAGGGTTGCGCAAAGTCAAGGGAAACCCCAGTTTTGCAGAAGATTCTTAACTTAAAAAGTTAATTTTGGGTATGGCCTCCACTAAACTTAAGGTGTAGTCACATGAGCAGTTTGCTGTGACAGTATATTGGCTCTAAATTAGCCGCTTGAGTTTGGGTTGCTTTGTGTCAATCACACAGCACCCCCTAAGCTGGCATCATAGTGCCGAGGGCCTGTGGTTAGTCATTCACATCGCTAATGCGCCGCAGCCACAGACCTGCGGCTGGGTTGGTCCCCACCCCCAAGTCCTGCTGTGCGTGCGCAGAAGCAGACAAGTGCAGATGAGCTCCTGGCCACGGTCTATGGGGGAACTGAAGCACATGTTGGAGTGGGGTTGGGAAAAAAGGATGCGCCAGAAATGGAGTGGGATGACGACACTGCTCATGCATTTCCATGGTGCACCTGGGCAATCAGACACCCAGAAACCCACCATGGAAGTGCCTCACCAAGATAGCCACCTGAATCTGTGTGGAAGTTGTTTTAGCCCGAGGTAGGGCATTTGGTTGTGCCCATTTGATCCAGTGGGGAGGGGTGGCTATGTTGGGCCAAATTTCTCATGTGATCACACCCCTAGTGTTGGTATCTACACATCTACAGATGCTGTGGGGGGGGGAGGTTCAGGTGACACTTTGCATTGCCGTAGCAACCTAAAATGTCATAAAAAGCTGGCTACAGCCATGAGGAGCAGGCAAGGAAGGGAAACTGCTGCTGGCTCTGGTTTGCCTCCCCTTAACGTATCTGTTTCTTCTACTCTCACTGTGAAAGGGGAGAGGTAAGCGAGCAGGCAGGTAGGGACACCCAAGTGTGGGGGACAACAAGCTGAATACAGCATGGTGAGGGTGGGGGAGTCAAGCCAGAGGTGGTTTGACAAGGGGAGAAGGCAAGCTCAAGCCAGAGATAGGGGGGGGGGACCAGAGATGCTGGTGCAGGGGGGGACATGATCTGCGTCCCACTTTTGTGGTTTCCAATCACCAAAGATTCAAATGAGTAAGGGCCAGAGGAATGGGTGCAGGGAGGGAATTCCCCAGGCACGGCACCACAACAGAAAAACTCTTGTCTATGGTAGTCACCAAGAGAAGGGCACACACATGGTGGTCTCAACAGCTGGACAAGTTTGTATGGGAGCTGACAGTCCTGGAGAGCCATGAGATCTGCACCAGGCAGAAACCTGATTCCAAGTGAAAGTGCAAATATACAAGGACTTGCCTTTTACCTGTTCAGGCTATCAGCCCATTTATCCCAAGACAGACAACAGCTCTGCAAATGCACAAGGCTTTCCCAAGCCCTGATACCCAAGAACTTTTCCCAGTGTTGCCAAAAACTAATCTAGGAAGTGATATGTGCAGAATTTATATCCACCCTCTCAAGCCCAGGCCCTTCTACTTTCACAAGGCCTATGTTCTACTGGGGATGCAGGACTGATCTGCACAGTACATCCCATTTGGCTGGCTCAGGAGAAAGTGCTGCTAGGCTACCAGGTCATACCATGCCTCTATATTAAGGAATGCTGTGGAAGATTAATGACCTGGAGGAGCTGCATCAGAGTAAATGCACCAAACTGCATTCAACTGTTCTGTTTCACATCCTGCTGTCTATCTTTCAATGTGCAGCCAATGTAAAGCTGACCAGTGACTTTACACCCATGGAAATGTAGGATTCTCATATTCTAAATGAAAAAAATTGGGCTGTGTTTCATATAAGGAACCCCTGGCAGTTGCTGTCTAACAATAATAGCAGAAGAAACTGAGAGTAGCACTGTTTGAATGAGGCTTTATTTCCCCCTTTTTGTCCCAGAAATACTGGCTGAGACATTCTGGATACATTCAGCTCATCTGTCGCAGAAAGCTATTTCTTATCTAAGTTCCATCCATGCCAGCACAGATCCCAGTTCCATTGCTATGTGTTTCCCACCTTATCTAGCAAACTACCCACCTCAAGTTCTTTGTTAGGTTTTTTTTAAAAAAAAACTTGGATAGACAAAAGAACCAGTGTGTGTCAGGACAGGTGTGCGTGCTCAAGGATTTAGCTGCACTTAAGTAAACTATCATGTAAGGTTTTTTTACCAGTGTTTTTCTTCTGAGCAGAAAGCCACCTACCATGAATCACACCTTTTGTTGTAAAAGGAAAAGAGGGGGGGGAGAGATAAGACATAGGGGGGAAGGGGGATGGAAACACAGGTACTTGGAAAGGAAACACAGCCCACTTTATGCTGACTGACCAATGAGGAGAAATCTATTTGCTGGCAAGTGGTTTAGGGCTGGTCCATTCCAGAGGTCTCACATATCAGCTGGTTGGACAGACAACTCCCACAGTGGCTGAAATAAAAGGAGAGAGAGGGGAAGGAGAGAGATCCTCACACATCCACAGCACTAACTGTGTGATTTTTGTTGCCAACAACTGGTTTCCACATAGCCTCTCACAATGACCTCCTACAGCTTCAGGCAATCCTCTTCTGTCTCAGGTGGAGGGTATGGTGGGGCTTCCTTAAGGGCCCCAAGCATGCACGGTGGGTCTGGTGGCCGGGGCGTCTCAGTCTCTTCTGCAAGGTTTGTCTCCTCTGGGGCTGGAGGAGGCCTAGGTGGTGGCTATGGAGGAGGCTATGGAGGAGGCCTAGGTGGTGGCTATGGAGGAGGCTATGGTGGGGGCTTTGGAGGAGGCTATGGTGGGGGCTTTGGTGGTGGTGCTGGAGGTGGGTTTGGAGCCAGCATGGCTGTCAGTGATGGCCTCCTTACTGGAAATGAGAAGGTAACCATGCAGAACCTGAATGACCGCCTGGCAAGCTACTTAGACAAGGTGCGTGCCCTGGAGGAAGCCAACACAGATCTGGAGGTTAAAATCCGAGAATGGTACCAAAAGCAGGGACCGAGTCCAACCCGTGACTACAGCGCATATCACAAGACCATTGAAGATCTCCGAGACAAGGTAAGGTTTTAAACTTGCAAACTGTGCCTTGAAGTGGTGTTAAACATGTACGCCATACTCCAGCTCTCAGAATTCTGGAGACAGGGGGGGGGGGCTGATAATCTCAAATATGGAGGGTTGATGTTGTGTAGATTTTGGTAGCCACAGTAGCCTCCGTTTTATTCTCAGCCAAATTTCCACAGCTTTGCAAGTACAGAAATGCAACCTACTTACATTTGGATGTGTTGGGGGGAAAACATGCATGTGGGCCTCATTTCAACTTTTCTGTACCAGTACTAGCTGTGGTCTGATGCCAGCTGTCTTCACCAACAGAATGCCTATCTACTTTTAACAGAATGCCTGTCTACTTTTAAACATTACAAATGTTAACTCATGAACCTTTTCCTGACCTGTAAATGGCACCTGCTGGATTTTTCCTTGTATGCAAATGTACAGAAACCTTGCTGGAAAAAGGTTGCAACTCTTTAAGACAAATTGGCTTAAAATCTTCATTCAGGTATTAGTCCAAACTATATGGTTACAAGGAGTCCCTGCTTTCCCATCTGTAAAATGGGCATAATAGCAATCTATCAGGCTGCATGCCTCACAAGAGCTGGCTGAGAAAGCTAACCATGAGTCAATGGAAGGGTGTGTCCAGCCAGGCCTACATTCTAGTCCCTGCACTTCAGTTTGGCTTTAACATCTTCAAGATGCATATAACAGCCTATTTTACAAAGCTGATATGAAACCAAACAGGACAGAGCTTGTGCAGTACATTATGCATGTGGAATATGAGGCAGGATTAGAGCAAAAATCATTATCTGAACAACAGTTAAATACTACCTGAAGCTGCACCTCTGTTAACCTGAGAGCCACATATTGGATTCATTACTTTATAATATGAAAAGGCCCTGGTTAGTGAAACATTTCTTTTAGCACCCCTTAATGTCTACAGCGTTCTCCTGATCCAGCAAGATAGTAACTTTCTTGAAAAAAGAGATAAGGGCTGCGGTCACACGGAGCATTAGGCACGCTAGAGGGACAGAAGATAGGCGGGTTTTCCGGGCGCGATCTCACCACCACATCTGGGAAGCATAGAGCTCCCGTGGCGGACCCAAGGCTTCCCGGGGAAGATACGCGGTAAAAAACTAGTACCTTGGAGGTACTAGTTTCCTGAAACCGCGGGGCAAGGGCGGGCGTCTGTTCGCGTTTCCGGTGGTAGTTCCGGCGCCCGCCCATGTCCCCTCGGAAAAAGGGGTGGAGAGATGTGATCCCATAGAAGGGACCCCTTCCTTGTGCAATGAACTGATATCCTCTTGGTCCAAGAATATCCCCTCAAGGGTAGGGTGGAGGTGGACTTTTGGTAGTGGGTGATTTGATCACTAGGAATACAGAGTGGGGTCTGTGGCAGGTGTTTTGAACGCATGGTAGCTTGCCTGTATGGTGCAAAGGTTGTGGACATCACATGCTGTCTAGATAGGTTAATAGGAGTCAGCAGTCATGGTGCACATTGGCGCCAATGACATTGGGAAATCTAGTTGTGTGGGCGTGGGTATCTATATAAGCAGGACAGAGAGGGACAGATTGATGGGGGTGTCACATTGTATATCAAAGAGGACATGGAATCAAATAAGTTAGAAAGCACCAGGGAAATTAACTCACCATCAGAAGTGATATAGGAGGAAATATGAGGTCCTAAGGACTACTTAAAAGTGGGAGTGTTTATCACCCACCAGATCAAACCCTTGAGGCTGATTTTGAGATGGAAAAGGAACCAAGGGAGGTGATTAAAGCAGATAATGTTATGATACTGGAAGACTACCTTCACATTGGCCTAGTTCAGACTGGCAGTGTGCCCCAATATATGTGTATTTCAGAAACATCCCACAACCGGATTAAATGGGCCATTCACACAGGCACATCTGTCAGGCGTTCCCCACCCATACTCAACCCATCTTGTAACACTTCGCTCCCGAGTTTAAAAGATACCTGGTGAAAGTGGCAGCAAACCCTGGAAAGTGCAATTATCCCACGTCCATCCTGCACCAACAAAGTATGAACGCCAAAAGCTGCATTTTTCTTATGCGCTTATGCGCTCATGCGCATATCTCCAGATTACAAAAAAAGAAAGTTGCGCCTTACAGCCATGTCTCCAGGCCAACAGTGTGAATGCTCCCTTGAGCCTCCTCCCGGTATGCTCCTGCATCAGTTGTTGCAGCCTGAACGGGAAAACCCGGAACAATTTGTCCTGGCTCTTTTTTGACACGACTCCCTCCCGCTTCAAACTGCCAGTCTGAACTCAGCCCATGACAGGGAAGGCAGGAAGGGTTGCATCAGTGCTTAATTCTCACTGCCCTTTCTTACATGCCCAGGGAAATGCTGATCACCACTTTGGGGTCAGGAAGCAATTTTTCTCCATGCCAGTTTGGCTGGAGGTCCTGGAGGTTTTTTGTCATCTTTTGGGCATGAAACAGGGGTCACTAGATGTGTGTGTGGGGGAGGTATTTGTGAATTATGCAGGGGTTTGGACTAGATGACCCTGGAAGTCCCTTCCAACTCTATGATTCTAGGATTTTAATGTGGTAAATCAGTATGCTAAATATCTTTTTAAAGTAGTTAACCTTTAAACATCTTTTTAGTTTTGCAACGAGGTCTTTATCTGTTTGAAGGGAGTGCCTGTGTGGATTTGCATGCTCAAACAGCTTTGTTATGTCCATGGCTCCACCTTCCCATTCTGAGGAATGAAAAATTATTCATGCCTTCCGCACAGCCTTATCCAATACCAGCTACCCCCTTATCAATTTTATTGCCGTTGAAGCTGTTCCAACTCAACCTATGTCCTTCCCTATCTTATTCTCTGGTATCAACAATGCAATTCTTTGTGGCTCGTTACAGTTATTAAACGTCACTCTAGTGTTACTGGAGGCAACTAATCTTTGTGCACTGAGATTTTTTATATGTTGAACTGCATTTGTCTAGATCTCCAACTACATGAGGTTTTTTCTGACTTTACTATCAGACCACCTGTATTCTGATTTTCAATGTTTTACATGCTGCATGGTTAAACAGGTACTGGCTAGGAAAGAAAGGTAGTGTTTTTAAAAAAAGTAGAACTGAATAACAAAAAACCTTTCAGGGCTTGCAAAGGGTATCTGTGCTGAACATATGAAGCTGCCTTATGCCATTTAGGCCCAATCTGCATCTAGCATTTGCTCTCCTGTTTTACCAAACCCAGGCTGGAACAGAAATTCCCCTCTGCATTGCATGCCACTTTAACTTTGATTGATTTTTGGATTTTATGGCAGTGTCCAGACTGCATGCCGCTTTCACTTTGTTTGATCTCTCAGTTTTATGGTAGCCATCTGTATAGACTTATGGCTGTTTTATGGCCATTCAGAGGTGACTCTGTAGTCTGTATGGTGTTGGCCCAGGGTACTGGAATGTGGTTTTGAGCTGCATCTTTTTCTGTTCCAGTGTGAGTTTGGTAAAACAGCAGAGCAAATGCTGGATGCAGACTGGGCCTATGAGTCAGAACTTTGGTCTACCCAGGTCAGTCTTGTCTACTCTGACTGGCAACAGTTTTCAAAGGTCTCAGTTGCTGTTTGATTCCTTGTCGTCTTTAAGATGGATGTAGTAGTAGCAGTTGGAGATGCCGGGGACTGAACCTGGGATCTTCTGCTTTCAAAGCAGATGCTCTACCACTAAATCATAGCCCCACCCCTAGCCCCTATACTTTAGAAAGCAATATGCCTTTTTTTTTTGCTTGTTCAATCTAAACATAGATAGGAAGTGCTAAATTGCTTAGATTTACAATCATTCTGGTGTTTTCAGAGTGAGAAGCACCAAATCTTTCTCTCTCATTCATCCTCACAGCCCCCTCATGAGATTAGGTATCATCAGGGGTCATTTCCTGCAGGAGTGCACAGGAGCAGGGCTCCGGCAGTAAAGACCCCAGGGGGTGGGCACACGTAACAAGCCCCACCCCCTGCTCCCAACAGCCCTCAGTCAGAGCAAGAAGCAGCCAGAGCTCCCCCTGCCCCCCCGGTCCAAAACAGTCCAGTGGCACCTTTAAGACCAAGTTTTATTCAGGTACAAGCTCTCCCACCTCTGCAAGGACAGATCTGCACATCCCCCCCCCCAATAGCTAGCAATCCAACACAGTCCAGTGGAGCCTGAGCGGTGGGGGTT